GGAGATGTCGTGTTGCTGAGGGAGAAAGACGCACCCCGCAACTCGTGGCCCATAGGACTTGTAGATCGGGCCTTGCCTGGCAAAGATGGACTGGTCCGCAAGATTGACGTCAGAGTCGTCGCAAGGGATGGCCCACAGGACTGCCCCTGGCCAACCAAGACTTTCACCAGGCCAATCACAGAGGTGGTCCTGCTCTGCACCAAAGAAGAACTCGAAGATTAAAGACTCAAGTTTGCATGTCTTATTTCTGTACAGAACTTAGCAGTGTAGCATGCCAATTATGCATAGTTATAGTTATAAGGCTTGTTAGCAATGCATGTGGGTAGTGGAACCCGTAGGATTCCAGGCGGGGAGTGTGCTGCCCCCAGCCAGCGTTTAACTGTAGTTAAGTAGAACTGCCACATATCTTTAAGAGCAGTCGCCCCTGGGAATTGAAGTCTTTAGTTAGACATCCCAAAGCACCCCTCTGACTGGCTGTTTAACAGTCATTCCCTGCACCCAGAGGCGCGGGATTTGAGTTTACAGCTCTCTTCCGTTCCTTTGTCCACTCTTTAAACGGCAAAGGGGTCGGAGCACGCAATCTTTTTCACCATGAGCCAGTGAACGGAATTAGATTACAAAGATGTGAATTTCACCAGTTATTCAGCTTGATTGTGAGTACAGAAATCTTCTAAATGCATGTGGAGCTTAATAAAAAATGATTTAATTCTACTTAACTTTGGCCGTGCGTTGAATCACGTCCAGAAGGCGCTGTTGTTGACTTAGCGCCAGATGGAACAGGCACCCAATGAGCTTTAGAACAGAACAAGAAGGAAGCAGCCGCAGGTGAGCCTTCTCCCCTGCCCCCCCATCCCAGGCACTCATGGCCAGGCCCGCGCCCCTCCAAGCACCGGCGGAGAGGCCTGAACTCGGCCTGCCAAGCTTTCTACCTCCCCCCTCCCCTAGCGGTGGTGGCAGCGGCAAGGCCTGGCTGGCCTGCCAAACTTTCTCCCTCCCCCCCTTCCTCCCAGCAGCGGTGATGAGGGCTGAGCGGCTTACAGCCGCTGGCTGGCCAAGCCTTCTCCCACCCCCTCCCTGGCGGCAGCGGCGGCAAAGCCGTTCTCAGAGCGTACTTTTGGGGGGGTTTAAATATCCCCCGCATATTTTCCCCAAGTTTTCAGATTTTTCTTCACATCTGGGTATTGCCCCAAATGTGCAGGAAAATCTCCCCGCCCCCCAAGTGCCCCCGATGTGCGGATTTAGATAGCTGCATGGAGGGGGCATGTTGGGAATTAGATATATAGATGGGGATTTGAACCCACAGTCTCCCCCATCCAAGTCCAGTACTCCGGTCACAGTAGCTTGCTGGGTGACTTTGGCTCTCTCAGGCTAGACTACCTCACAGGGTTGCTGTGGGGAGTTAAAATGAAGGAGGAAAGAAAGATACTTTAAGCCACTTTAAGTCCCGAATGGGCAGAAAAGTGGGAAATAAGAAATTACTGAGATAACGTACGTCAAGAGGTTTGACCCCCTACTGTACAAATACTAACGGTTAAGATGGCAAGACTCACCATTTTATTTTCAATCCTAATTTTTTGCCTCTGCTGTCTTCCAGGAAGAAGATGAAAGCCTCACGGTGCCTAACGGTAGCCACGGCTTTGCTGACGCTGGTGGCCCTCAAGGCCTATATCGAGTGGTCTGCTGAACAAGACGGGCGATTCCCGACCCCTCGCGAGGCCGACTGGCCAACCAGTGCCTTCACACCTGCCCAGACCACAGCTGAAGATGCCATGGCGACAGCCCCGCTCCGTTTCAATGCATCCCTGCAGCAGCTGCGCCAGAGTATCCCAAAATCCAAGGCCTACTGGAACGGGAAGCAGCACCAGATCTTCCAAGCACTGGACGCTGGGTGGAGTAATGCCTCCGTGCACGCATGTGATGCATCCAGAGACGCAGAAAGAGTGAGCAGGATCAAAGACTTCGGCACCTACTCGGAGCTTTACAGGAATTTTATCCTGTACGACGAATGCCGGAACTTCCCGCTCTTGATCAACCAGCCAGGCAAGTGCGCCCACAGCAAGAACCGCACGTTTCTGCTTCTGGCCATCAAATCTCTGCCGGGGAATTTCGCTGCCCGCCAGGCTGTACGAGACACCTGGGGACGTGAGGGTGAGCATGGTGGGCTGCCTGTGCGCACCGTCTTCTTGCTGGGAAGAGCCGGGGGCCGATACGAGCCCAACCTGCAACGCATGGTGGAGTACGAGAGCCAGACATTTGGAGACATCTTGACGTGGGACTTTGAAGACACCTTCTTCAACCTCACACTGAAGGACTTCCTCTTCCTCAACTGGACGCTGGAGCACTGCCAGGACACCCGCTTTATTCTCAAGGGAGACGATGACGTTTTCATCAACACACCCAAGGTCGTGGACTACCTGAGCTCCTTAGATGACCGCAAGCCGATCTACATGGGCCAAGTGATGGCCAACGCCTCGCCATTCCGGGTCCGCAAGAGCAAGTACTATGTGCCCGAGTCGTATTACATAGGGCCATACCCATCTTACGCGGGTGGTGGGGGCTATGTCTTCTCGGGTGTGCTGATCCAGTGGCTCTACGTCATCTCTCAATACATACCCTTCTATCCGATAGATGACGTTTACACAGGGCTGTGCTTCCAAGCTTTGGGCATCCATCCTGAAGCACACCCTGGCTTCCAGACATTTGACATCGCGGAGAAGGATCGTGATAATCCTTGTGTACACAGAGAATTACTCTTGGTCCACCAGCGTAGCCCACACCAGACTCTCCAGCTCTGGAAACAAATCAGGGACCCCAATCTCACGTGTTGAGACGCCCGGAAACAATCCAGCCTCTCTTCACTTAGGGGCCAGGTCCTTAATGGGAGTAAAACGGAGAAAGCCTGTGGATGCAGAAGTGGAATATCTATTGTGGTTGGACACAGATGCCTCCTTCAAGGGGGTGCAGTGCTTCCTTTCCAATTCCAGGTTTAGGGGCAGGGTCTTTCAGAATCCCCTAGGGAAAGGCAAGGCAAGGCAAGGGCCATCAACTCTCTTGCTCCCAAGTGCATCTGCCAGCAGTTGTTGGAAACAGATCCTTGGAGCAGATGAACCAGGGTCTGGCCCTTTTATGTTCAGAGCATCACCAACCTGTCGAGCAGTAGAGGGGGGGCAGCAAGGTGGAAAGTTAGTAGCCCGTGATTCAGTTCTGTATAGCGGGCAAGCGATGGGTGACCCTCCAGAATGCCAGGTACAGAGGAAAGGATACTTTGTTCATTGGGGGGGTGATGAAAAGGGGCCCATTTCTCAGCAACAGAACCCACTGTAAAGACCTCGGTCCGGTCTCTGACAACTGCAGTTAAAGCGGGTCTTGGGCTGCAAGACCGGGAAAGATGCCCTCCCTAAGACCAGAAAGGGATGCTGGCAGCGAGAGTCGATGGGGAACATTTTGCCTTAGTCCAAGACAGTTCCTTCTCTGTCTTTCACCTGTGTAGCTTACATTTTTTGTGAGGGGATAAAACAAATTGGCCGTGCTTTTGAAAAAAGAAAAACTTTAGACGCACAGACAGCTAGGTTAGGGTTAGTCAGGAATACGGTGATTCCACCTGTCACCTCAATATAAAAGGATGGTTCTTTTCCAGATCTTGGTACTTGCTCGGATCACCCAGGCTAGAAAGAAGGGTCAGCTGCATTGACTTGTAAACAAACTCGAACTTGATGCCTGCTTTCGGTCACGTCAGATACATCTCCGGTGCCTTGAATGTGTTTTCCGTGAAAATCATGGCTTCAGAAGGAAGATACTCCAGAGCCGGTCTGGTCAGTTAGGGATGTCTTTAAAAATCTAGAACACTGGAATGTGTGGAACTCCGTCCCTCCCTTACAAGGATAGGGTCATACCCTCTGACCATCACCCCAGGTGCTGGGATAACCACCGTAATTCCTCGTCTATATTAAGAATCAACAGAGATATACAATAGGTGATAGGATCCACCCAGGCTAGAGAGAGGGGTCAGCTGCATTGACTCGTAAACAGACTCCAACTCGACGCTCGCTTTCGGTCACGTCAGATACATTTCCGGTGCCTTGAATGTGTTTTCCGTGAAAATCATGGCTTCAGAAGGAAGATACTCCAGAGCCGGTCTGGTCAGTTAGGGATGTCTTTAAAAATCTAGAACAATGGAATGTGTGGAACTCTGTCCCTCCCTTACAAGGATAGGGTCATACCCTCTGACCATCACCCCAGGTGCTGGGATAACCACCGTAATTCCTCGTCTATATTAAGAATCAACAGAGATGTACAATGGGTGATAGGATCATCCAGGCTACAGAGAAGGGTCAGCTGCGTTGACTCGTAAACAGACTCCAACTCCAACTTGACGCTTGATACTGCCTTTTCCCTAAATAAAAGATAAACTGGAGGTGTGTGTGTGTAGGAGCATCCCCTATTTAATTTGTGCAGCTTGCTGTCTTGAGAAGCACAGACACAGGGCAGGGAAAAAATATCAGATCCGCCCCCTCTTTCTTCACCTAGTTAATAGCTTTCTTCCTGATGAAGAGATCTGTGTCACTTGAAACAGTCTCCCTTTGTCTGTGGCTTTCCGCTGTTATGGGCTGACACGCCCACCACCGGGCAAACAAAAGGTTGTCGAATCAATTTAACAACCTTGCTGTTGCTTCCTCTGTAAATGTCCTGGGGTTTAGATAAGCCTTAAGGAAAGGTCGTAAAAATGAAATAAATTCTGCCATTTCCATTGCTGTCAACTCCCTTCCCAGTACTAAAACTTGAAGAAGGTTCCACTGTTTTCATGTGACCTATTTAAAGGGCAGGCGGAAACTGTTTCCTGCCGCGCTCATGAAGTAATGTACATAGTAAAACACGCCTTACATGCTGTACCGATTGGTTTGTGATTGTACTTATTTACCGTTATCTCGGGGTGGTCTTTGAAACAGCTCAAAGCTGCTATATTGGGTGACAGGCTACCGGTATCGAGCCCTGTTTTGCATTAATTAATTAATTTATTAATATTAAATTTATACCCCGCCCTTCCCCGTGGGCAGCTGGTGGTTTTGAACACTGATCCTGGCATGCCCAATGCACTTTCAAGCAAACCCCAGGTTGAAGAATTGAGGAAAATGCTGACGTGCCACAGATCGCGGCAGTGTTTCTGGTGCATGCAGAAGAGCCGGTTTTCAGTGTCAGGTTCAAACACGAAAGCAGCGTGCCTCAGTGGCGGGGCAGGCCGCTGGGGCGAAAACTTTAAAAGGAAACGGAAGGAAGGGAGATGAACAAGATCGAGGGCACAGACTTGGGTTGCAAGACAGGAGACAAAAAGGGTGCAAAGGGGTCTCTCAGGTGCTGGAAGGTAAGATGCCGCTACCGTTTGCAAGGCACAGGGAAAGCAAAGTAGCAGCCCTCGTTATAAAAACCACGTTGAGTATCACTCACCATTTCAACCCAGCCTCTGTAGCCTGAAGGACTACAGAAATGCTTAAAACAAAACCAGACTGAGACCCTGCACCAGGATAGTGGTTTCTACCCCAAATAGTGCCGTGTTTGCGCAGGGTGACTGTAGGATAAGCATCGCCCTATCCATCCCAGGGTCGCAAGATGAAATAGCCAACTTGACCCCACATCAGATGTTTTAACCAAAAGTTGGCAGGGCTCCATTCCTAAGCCAGGGCTCAGACCCCAAATCATGTGCAGCGACCAGAGTTTCCGAGTTGCTTTTCCTTTACAACCTCGGCCCTTTCTGGGAACAGACCTTCCTTTTGCTTTAGAAATCAACCAGTGACCTTGAGAGCCAGTTTGGTATAGTGGTTAAGTGTGCGGACTCTCATCTGGGAGAACCGGGTTTGATTCCCCACTCCTCCACTTGCACCTGGCTGGATGACCTTGGGCAAGCCGTAGTTCTGGCACAGCTGTTCTCGAAAAAGGGACGTTTCTGTCAGAGCTCTCTCAGGCCTACCTGCCTCACAGGGTGTCTGTTGTGGGGAGGGGAAGGAAAAGGAGTAAGCTGCTCTGAGACTCCTCTGGGTAGTGAAGGGCGGGGTATAAATCCAATCTCTTCTCTTCTTCTTTTACCTCACAGGGTGTCTGTTGTGGGGAGGGGGAAGGGGAAAGGAGTTTGTAAGCCGCTCTGAGACTCCTTTTGGGCAGTGAAGGACGGGGTATAAATCCAATCTCTTTTCTTCTTCTTTTACCTTACAGGGTGCTTGTTGTGGAGAGGGGAAGGGAAAGGAGTTTGTAAGCCGCTCTGAGACTCCTTTGGGTAGTGAAGGGCAGGGTATAAATCCAATCTCTTCTCTTCTTCTTCTTTTACCTCACAGGGTGTCTGTTGTGGGGTGGGGAAGGAGTTTGTCAGCCGCTCTGAGGATCCCTTGGGTAGTGAAGGACGGGGTATAAATCCAATCTCATATCTTCTTCTTCTGAGAGGCGGACGACATGAAGAAAGGACGGAGGCAATCTGCCCATAAACATTTTATTCATTGCTGAGACACCCACGTTTGCCCTAGACTACCTGTGTTCACCCATGTCTCCCCGCACCCCCGAATGTATAACTACCACATTCAGCAGTAACACCCCCAATTTAGCTGTAACAGACCGACAGAACTCTGCCACAAACACCTCCCCCCCCAAATCGCTCAGAAAGAGATGCTGAAAATGTACACTGTTGGGGTTTCCAACAAAAGCCCCCTTCTCCATTTGCTCTGGGCTCCGCTAAAGCCAGCCCAACTTCTAAAAGCTCCCCAATCCTACGGAAAATACTTTGAAAAGACCTGCCCTCTTACAGAGTGTGGACCAACAGGCCAGGTTAAAATTACAGGGTGATATCCGCTTTGCCCAATGAGATCATAGTCTCTGGAGGACACTGTCAAGGGAGGCGTCTGGGGTTCTTCTCCTGGGGAAGGCACAGGCTGCGGTTTGCCCCTTAATTACTGGCATTATCTTTGCAGCGTTTGTCAGGCGGGAAGTCTCATGAACACGCAAGGCCACCCCAAGGTGGTACTTGGATCCGGAGGCACCGAAGATGACGTCGGAGATCTTTCTAGCAGAAGTGGTTCCTTTTCAGACACAAGCTCGCCCACTTAGTGCCTTTCAGAACGACAGCCTCCAGGAAGGCAGCCGGGTTGTGCGAGGCGGCAAGGGGGAACCCCGTTAAGAAAACCAGCCGAGATAAGGCACCGCGGTTCTACAGAGAGCTGGGACCTTTGTGCTTTATGTAAATTGCATGCAACCGCAGTCATCTTGATGACGAGGTGAGGCCAAGGTGCGGAAGGGTGGATTTTGGGGGGGAGGGGATAGAAGCCTCTGCTCTCAAAGCCATCCTGACCTACCCCCAAGGGTTGCGCACGCCCAACAGGACTTCTCGGGTTCTCACAAAGACTCGAGTTCGGGAATTCCCATTGGGCACAGGTGGCTCGCCGCGCTATATTTAACCACCACCAAGAAAACGAGTAGAGCATTGGATGGTCCAGATCGGGAGGTGGAGTGTATGCCACCGTGGGCTGGGTGGTGACAGTGGCTTTGTGGCACCCCTTAGTGAGCTATCACTGTTAGCAGCTTCCATTGTAAGATAAGATAGCCATTAGGGGTCGCTAGCAGAGGGTGGTTTGGAGTCCCCGAGAGTTGCCCCCAAACCTGGGTCTGTTACCCCCCACCCCCGAGATCCCAGGCACCAGTGTTCCAAGCAGCCTTTTCCCCCACACAGGACCAAGAAAAAGGTTGCCTAGGTGTAATGGGGGCACAGTTTTTGACCTAGACTCCTCTTCCGGTTGCTGGTGAGGGCAAGTCAGGGGGGGGGGTGAGGATGAAGGGGGGGGTTTCACTTCTCAAACTGTCCCAAAGGGTAGTGTTCGCCGTATTGCTTTCGCTCCAGGGATTCCTGCTTCTTCTGGATGTGCCAGTTCATCTCGTGGTAAACGTCGGAGAAGAGAAGCTGAGGCCTGGGCTTCAGCTTGCGCTCGGCCTCCTCGAAGGCCTCCATGACCTGGAGGAAAAGGGGGGCAGAACGTCAAGGGAAGCCAGAGATGGAATCCCCGCTCACCAGAAGGAAGGCTCCCGTCTGGCGAGTCTGCAATTTACTTTTAAAAAAGAGGATTGTCAACATGCGTAAAGGACGACAGAGTATGAACCCATTCTGGCCTTATGACCCTTCTGTCCCCCACCCCATAGAACAGAGGTGGACAAATTGTGACAAATGTGTCCTGTCTGGTCTGCGGGCGCTTTTCATCTGACCCTAAAGCTGCTTCATCATTTGGCTGGAGCACCAACGTGTCAGACTGTAATGGGCAGACACTTGCGAGAAACTGTTAAAATGGTTTCAAGGGCAGACGAAGGTTCAAACGTTGCCCTCAGGCTGAAAAATTCGCCCTTCTCTGGCACAGGGTGTTACTTTGGCATCTAAAAAGAAAGTGGACGGGTAACAATTGAGTATCCCCCCCAGGGAAACCGCAACGCACAATCCTCCGGGTGAGGACGGGGGTAGGAGGGATGAACTGCTGTCTGTAAAACATGTGCAGACAGAACAGGTGCCCCTTCCTGACCAACGCCACGAGAATACAGATCTTTCTCCCCTGCCGTGTCCGCGTGAGACAAGCAGACTTGGAGGGAGGGAGGCAGGGAGGGCCGGGCACCCCTCCAAGCCACTCACCCTCTTGCGGGACTTCTTGCGCCAGCTTTTCTCCTGCTCCTCGTCCCACCAGCCTTGGTTCACCATGTAGTGACGGAGCCGAGAAATGGGGTGGTCCTGCTTGTCCCAATAGTTGACCTCGTCCACCGAACGGTAGGCGGAGCTGTCGTCGCTCGTGCTGTGGTGCCCAATCCTGAGAGGAAAAGGAGCGGCCAATCCCGCCAGGCAAACCCCTTAGCCCCGCCCCCTCTACCCTAGGCCATCACCTAAATGCCTTAGCTCCGCCCTCTCCACTCTGGATCACCATCTAGATTCCTACTCTAGACGGTCACCTAAACTCCCTACCCCCACCTTTCCAATTTAGGCCGTCATTTAAATTCCTACTCTAGGCCATCTCCTAAACTCCTTACCCCTGCCCATCGACTTTAGGCCGTCAGCTAAACTCCTTAGCCCCACCCTTCCAACCTAGTCCATTACCAAAACTCTTTCATCCCACCCCTTCCACTCTAGAACGTTGCCTACACACCTTAGCCCCGCCCTCTCCAGGTGCCCGATCCTGAGAGAAAAAGGAGCGGCCAATTCGGTCAGGCAAACTCTTTATCCCCGCCCCCTCCACCCTAGGCCATTACCTACGTGCCTTAGCTCCGCCCTCTCCACTCTAGGCCATCATCTAAATTCCTACTTTAGGCCGTCACCTAAACTCCTTAGCCCCGCCCTCTCCACTCTAGGCCATCACCTAAACTCTTCAGCCCCACCCTCTCCACTCTAGGCCGCTGCCTACCGGAACTCGCTGCCTTTAGGCATCTGCCTCTAAACCCACCTGTAGGTCATGGCCTCAATGAGGAACGGCTGGTTCTCAGCAACGGCACGACGCCGGGCCTCCTTGGTGGCATTGTACACCGCGAAGACGTCGTTGCCGTCCACCCGGATCGAGTGGATGCCGTAACCTGGACCCCGAGCAGCTGGGGAGGGAGAGTTGGGGAAACTTGCCATCTGTGTGCCGCAGTCCCTGCCCCGCCTGAAATCCCCGGCGCCCTCCCGCCTCCCGTTGCTTTCCTAACTGCTTGAAACCAGTGAGCTGCTAGCAGGGGGGGTAAAGGTAAAGATTTCCCTTGCTAGGGAGCTAGTCAGATCCTACTCTAGGGGGGCGGTGCTCATCTCCACTTCCAAGTCGAAGAGCCGGGGCTGTCCGGCTCTAGGGGGGCGGTGCTCATCTCCGTTTCCAAGCCGAAGAGCCGGCGCTGTCCGAAGACTTCTCCATGGTCATGTGGCTGGCATGACTAAACACCAAGGCGCACTGTTACCTTCCCACCAAAGCAGTACCTATTTATTTACTGGGAACCGGGATCCTCAGGTTCTGTCCCCCCTCTCCATGCTGGGCAATTAACATCGGGCCAAGCTGGATCAGGCCAAACGTCTGTTTAGATCAGGGTCGTCTCGAAAGCGGCCTGCCGGAATGTTATAAGCAGTGCGGGGAAACGGCAGCCCCGGGAACTGATATTCCGAGATAGACTGCCTCCAGATGTGGAAGCTCCACGTAGCCATGACGGACCCAGAGAAAGACCTGGCCTCCGGTCATAGAACATCTTTTAAAAACCATCTCAGACAACAGGTGAAGGGTCACCTGGCCAAGGGAGTTTTGTCTCTCTCGAAAGCTGATACCCCCCTCCCCCAAATCTCTCAGGGTCTACTGGACTCTGATCGAGCTCTCCCCGGGTTGAGGGATGCATCCCGTTCTCTTGGTCAAAGGCTGAGAAATACCTCCAGGTCAGTAATGCTGAATGAAGATGGATGGGATATAAGGACTAGATGCTCACAGTTTAGGGTAGGGAGGGCGGGATATAAATCTAATTAATTAAATAAATAAATAGGGTGCATCAATCTCCAGTTCTGACATATTTATTACCTATGCCCCCCCCAATTGAACCCAAACAGTTGATAACCAGAAAATAAGCTTGTCATTCTTTTTATCTGTTTAAAAACATCTTCACTATTTCGCACGCTAATTTAACAAGCCACACTTTATTTTTATACACACACACACACACACACACACACACACATATAGTACAGGGCTCTTTTTGTAGCAGGTACTCATTTGCATATTAGGCCACACCCCCTAATGTAGCCAATCCTCCAAGAGCTTACAGAGCTCTTCTTACAAGGAGCTACTGTATACACACACACACACACACACACACACACCCTGTTTCCCCGAAAATAAGACCTACCCCAAAAATAAGCCCTAGCAGGTTTTCTCTGCATTTGTGGTATAAGCCCTAGTGTGTCTTCTTGAGAAAAAATAAATATAAGACAGTGTCTTATTTTCGGGAAAACACGGTATATATATATATGTGTGTGTGTGTGTATATGTGTGTGTGTGTATATGTGTGTGTGTGTATATGTGTGTGTATATGTGTATACATATATATATAAAGGTAAAGGTAAAGGTTCCCCTTGCTCGAAAGCCAGTCGAGTCCGACTCTAGGGTTGCGGTGCTCATCTCTGTTTCAGAGCCGAAGAGCCAGCGCTGTCCGAAGACGTTTCCGTGGTCATGTGGCCGGCATGACTAAACACCAAGGCGCACGGAACGCTGTTCCCTGCCCACCGAAGTGGTCCCTATTTATCTACTTGCAATTTCTTGCTTTCGAACTGCTAGGTTGGCAGGAGCTGGAACTAGAGACGGGAGCTCACCCCGTCATGCAGCACCCGGGTCTCGAACTGCTGAACGACCGACCTTCCACAGCCTGCAGTTCAGCGTCTTAACCACTTGAGCCACCGTCTTAACCACTTGACCATAGAAATCCTGCTAGAGCTTATTTTTTGGGTAGGTCTTATTTTCGGGGAAATAGGGTATATATATATACACATACATACATAAATACACACACACACACACACATATATATATATATACACACACACATACATATACACAACTATGATCTGTAATTCCACTTTACTGTCTGACAAAGTGTGTGTGCACACGAAAGCTCACACCTTCAATAAAACTTCGTTGGTCTTAAAGGTGCCGCTGGACTCTTAACTTTGTTCTATTGCTTCTGACCAGCACGGCTGCCCACCCTGAACAATGCTTGCAATCTTCGCACGGTCCTAACCAATGCTCCCTCTAAGCTGTGGAGTCTTGTGAGCAAAAATTCTGGTTTCTGAGCCACTGGCGTTAAAGTTGTGAGCGAGCGATTGGGCTGCGGCATAAATTAAATCTGCTCTGGAGCCATCCTTCCCGAGCGAAGACAGAAATGTGTGAGCTGGAGGCTAAAAAACTGTGAGCTAGCTCGCACTCACTCAGCTTAGAGGGAACACTGGTCCGAATGTTTCCCCGCCTCTTGCCCAACGAGTGAAGCGACTGAGAGTTCAAGCGGGCGCTCCTGTCACTTAAAAGCTGCCCGCCCCCCAGTCGAGTCGGAGCACCGAGCGCCTTCGAATCTTGCACCCCTTTGCTCATTCGACCCATAACTCAGCCCTCCATTCCCGGGACTCCCCCCCTCTTACCGATCCCGTCGCCCCGGTACTGCTCAGACGTCGGGGTGGAGATGGCGTAGCCGTTGTTGCGGCAGAAGAAGATGATGGGGCACTCGAGGGTGGCGGCGAAGTTGAAGCCGGCGTGGGCGTCGCCCTCGCTGGCCGCGCCTTCCCCGAAGTAGCAGATCACGATCCGGTTGCTGTTCTCCCTCTTGACGGCGTAGGCGGAACCGACGGCTACCGAGGCGGGTGGGGAGGGAAGGCAAGAGGGAATGAAAGCAGGAGGGGGGCGGGAAGGGGGCGGAGGCAGCTGGGCTACAAATCCCCGGGGGCCACGTCCACACCAACGGCTGTGCCGTTTTAGCAGATCGTTTATTGGTAAAAGGGCCGGTCGAGGAGGACCGGCAGGTCAGATCTGTTGAGTCCGGAGTCCAAATCCTCCCCTCTGGGTATCAGTGGCAGAAGCCGATGAAGATGGTCTGTGGCTGTTCTGCAGCTCTGCCAACCCGTGGCTCTGTGCTAAAATGCTGCCCCTTTAAATTCTGATCCTTTCCTTGAGGGGCTTCATCCCGTAGTCCTGCTGGTCTGCAGCAAAACAGCTGGATTCCAGTCCAACAAGGGTTTTTTTGGGTATGAACTTCCAAGAGTCAAAGCTCCCTTCGTCAGGTTGTTGTTGTTGTTATTTATTTATTTAATTTATACCCCGCCCTACCCCACAAATAGAAGCGAGAAGAGATTGGATTTATACCCCGCCCTTCACTTGGGGTCTCAGAGCGGCGTACAATCTCCTTTCCCTTCCCCTCCCCACAACAGACGCCCTGTGAGGCCGGAGGGGCTGAGAGAGCTCTGAGAGAACCGCTCTTGAGAGAACAGCTCCGAGAGAACTGTGGCTTGCCCAAGGTCACCCAGCAGCTACACGTGGGGGAGTGGGGAATCAGACCCGGCTCTTCCAGATTAGAATCCGCGCTCCTAACCACTACACCGAACTGGCGTAGGAACGGAGATCTTCCCCTTCTGACTGGGATAGAAGGACTTGGCGATCTCCGTGCTGATGAACGGAGCTTTGACTCTTGAAAGCCCATACACCGAAACTTCGTCACACCGAGGAAGCTTTGACTCTCGAAAGTTTATATCCCGAAACTTCGTCAGATGAAGGAAACCTTGACTCTTGAATGTTTATATCCTGAAAGTCTTGCTTGTCTCTAAACTACTGGACTCAAATCTAACTGTTCCTTGAGGGGGTGGGGCTCTGGCAGCCATCTTGGGGACAGCAGCGTTCGGTTTGGCCCCAGACAAGTTGTGACATCAGTCTCTACCTGTTATTGAGGGGTGGTCCTGAATGGGCAATGTAGAACTCCTGCCCCTCTTCCTCAAGGCCTGCCCCCTCGCTTGGTGTCTCTGATGCCCAGCGCACCCCTTGAGAGCCAGTTTGGTGTAGAGGTTAAGTGTGCGGACTCTAATCTGGGAGAACCGGGTTTGAGTCCCCACTCCTCCACTTGCACCTGCTGGTGTGACCTTGGGTCAGTCACAAGCTCTGGCACAGCTGTCCTTGGAAAAGAGCAGTTTGTGTCAGAGCTCTCTCAGCCCCACCCACCTCACAGGGTGTCTGTTGTGGGGAGGGGAAGGGAAAAGGAGTTTGTAAGAAGCTCTGAGACTCCAAGTGAAGGGCGGGGTATAAATCCAATCTCTTCTTCTTCTTCTTCTTCTTGAACGGAACAAATGTTTGGAGGAGGAGTCGGTTTTTATACCCCGCTTTTCTCTACCTGAAGGAGTCTCAAAGCCATTACAATTGCTTTCCCTTCCTCTCCCCACAGCAGACACCCTGTAAGGTAGGTGGGGCTGAGAGTTCTGAGAGAACCGTGACTGATCCAAGGTCACCCATCTGGCTTCATGTGGAGGGGTGGGGAATCAAACCTGGTTCCCCAGATTAGAGTCTGCCACTCTTCACTACTACAACACACTGGTCTGGGGCCTAGTTTCATGATTTCATTGCGTGTGGCCTTCTTCTGAGAAACGTAGCCTCGCGTATGGGCGGGTGACCTAGAAGGTACAACTGCCCGAGTAATCCCACCACCACCTGGGCTATTTGCCATTGTTTTGTGTGAATGTGCCTCAGGAGAGGGTGGGATCGGAAGCAAAGCCCTCCCTAGGAGCCTGAGTCAGAGAGGAGACGGGGTGCTCTTCTACACAGCTTGTACAGGAGAGACGCGGGTGACTAGATTTGGGACTGCGGAGAGAGGTGGTTGGGGCTGTCCTTGGAATAAGGAGACTAATAGGTGAGGGAACAATGTGGGGGGGGGGATAAATGGTTTTGGGCTGAGACCAAGGGCTTACCGAAAAATCGCATTTCAATCTGCGGGCAGACAACTTCGCTTGAGATCTACGCCAAGTGACGTCACCCCGTCCTCCTCAACATCAGAAATATCACAGTTTTGTTCTGCTGATTTTTTTTTAACGAGACACAGATAATCTCTAGAACAATCTTGCCGCAAAAACAAAAGAGGGGTCTGGTGCCACCTTAAGCGTGAACCAATGCATTTGTTAGTCTTTAAGGCCTCACGGGACGCTGCTTTTGTTTCGTTTTACTGCACGAGAGTAAATCGGCTTCCCCACTTAGAATGTCACTACAAACCTCCATAAAGTTATCATTTGAGATCTGGAAAAGATAACTGTCCATTCACGACTACTACGTCCCCCCGCCTTTCTGAGCCTGCAGGGACCTCCGGAATTCTGACACAACCGCAAAATGGCTGCCCCAAAAGGCGAAGCCGGCTACAAAATGGCCGTCACAAGAGAGCAAAATAATGTAGAACTCTGATTGTAACTCTTCAGCGTTCCAGGCATAAACTCTGTTTAACAGGAGGCCTTTAAAATTTGGACCGCCAATCACAGAACGCTTCATCAGCTCTTCATTTCTGGCTGGGAAGCATCCCGCACCAGGCAAAAGGCTACAGAAGAAGAAGAGATTGGATTTATACCCCGCCCTTCACTACTCAAAGGAGTCTCAGAGTGGCTTACAATCTCCTTTCCCTTCCCCTCCCCACAGCAGATACCCTGGGAGGTAGGTGGGGCTGAGAGAGCTCTGAGAGAACTGCTCTTTCAAGAACAGCTCTGAGAGAACTTGTGACTGACCCAAGGTCACGCCAGCAGCTGCATGTGGAGGAGTGAGGAATCAAACCCAGTTCGAATCTCTGCTCTGTCATGGAAGCTTGCTGGGTGACCTTGGGCTAGTCACATATTCTCAGCCAGACCTACCTCACAGGGTTGTTGTGAGGGAAAAATAGAGGAGAGGAGAATGATGTAAGCCAGTTTGGGTTAGAACAAGAAGTAGTGGAGGAAGAGGAGGAGGAGATTGGATTTATACCCCGCCTTTCACTACCCCAAAGGAGTCTCAGAGCGGCTTACAATCTCCTTTCCCTTCCCCCCCCCACAGCAGACACCCTGTGAAGTACGTGGGGCTGAGAGAGCTCTTTCGAGGACTGCCCTTGAGAGAATAGCTCTGAGAGAGCTTGTGACTGACCCAAGGTCACGCCAGCAGCTGCATGTGGAGGAGGAGTGGGGAATCAAACCCGGTTCTCCCAGATTAGAGTCCGTGCTCCTAACCACTACACCAAACTGATTTAACGTACTTTGTATTTCCTACAGGACCCTATGCAGCCACTCAGGTGTGAGCAGGTAGGGCTGTTTTGGTAAAACGGGAAAAGTGGTCTGTTTGTGGCTTCCAAGGCTAAGATCATGCCATGAAAGACGTGCATGACCAGCCGGGCAACTAAAAACGCTTAAGGGCTAGTAACGTTTTGTGGACCGACTCTCATCTCCAGCCACCTCTTCACTGAAGGAGAGCGATGAGGCTTTGATAAGCACGGAACGGCTCCCACGCCTACGGGAAGGCAGATCTGCGGCCGATCTCTCTGCCCCGAAAGCCAAGCGGGCTCTGCGCCTCCCTGTCCTCAAACGGTACCTGATGTGCAAGACGGTGTCGACTCCCTCCCTCCCCGGATGGAACCGTTTGATCTCACCTTGTGGGATCTGCGTGGCCAGCGGGGACGAGATCGTGACAAAGTGCAGGTCTTTGCAGCCGTAATGCACCGGCATCTGACGGCCCTTCCCGGGGTCGCTGGCGTTCCCGTAGCACTGCGCCATGAACAGGTCCAGGGGGTAACCCCGGTGCATCAGGACGCCTGGAGAGGAGGGAAAGGAGACGCAGGATTCGCAAGGAGACGGGCATTTCACGCGGAGAATGTTCTCAAGTTCAGGAATAATTAGCAATCAATACAAACAAGAGACCGTTTCCATTCTTTTATCTGCTGCAAAATCAGCCACTGCCCTTTGTTGGAAAACTTCTGCCCCTGATGTATCACTTTGGCATAAAAAAACCCCAACAACAACTCTGGGAATATTATATTTTGGCAGAAGCATCTGACAAACTGGATATCAGCTACGTCCAGGGGTCATTTCGTAGAAAAAGAGCTAGGGGAACTCATTAGCATAACTCATTAGCATATACCACACCCCCTGACATCAGGGGCCCGGCGGTGGACCTGCAAGGCCAGCGGGAGTGTGAGGAAGCCCCGCCAAGGCCCTCCCTGGCCCCAGGCAGGCAGGGGTGGGGAGAGGCGGGGAGGAAGCAACTTACCCTCCCTCTTCTCCTGCCTCCTCCTGGCTGAATGAGGGCTGGAAGCGGGGCGGCCGGAAGCAGGGGGCGGGGCTTCGTCATGTGCCCCGCCCCCCCGTACCTCACCCGGGTGAACTGTGTTCCCCCGCGTTCCCCCCCGAAATGGCCTCTGGCTACGTCACACTAATTTTGTTACTAGTTTGGTTTCCTATTTTAGAATACTGGACTCAACAAGAAGAGATGCCAAATGAAATTAAAGCTCTTCGGATATGGTGAAATGATTGGTTGCGAATGTCCATGGTTCCATCTTTATTACATCTGGTTTGATATACTTTAATATCTGCTAGAGAGAGTAACCAAAAAAATTGTTACAGTGATTAAGCTATAATTTATGTTCTTTTTTCCTTTTGTTGTTGCAAATTCAATTAAAAAATGTTCTTTTTCAAAAAAAGTTCAGGAATAAGGTTATTTCCAAAAGTCGTTCTGGTGTAGACCAGCCAGGGATAAGACAGGCAAGCCAATTTTAGGGGCTCCAAGAACCCCCAAAATTACAAAATAACCAAGTATTACAAAATTACAAACTACCCCAGCAAGAGCATTGGCTGGGGTTGTTCTCCTTAAATACCCTAGAACAGTGGTGGCGAACCTATGGCACGTGTGCCAGAGGTGGCACTCAGAGGCCTCTCAGTGGGCACGCGTGGCATTGCCCCAGCCAGGCCCAGACCATCATTAAAGTGTCGAATTCTCTGACAAATAATTTTAAGTCAATGAAAGCATTTGGGATTACTTTCCTTACTTTGTTTGGATCATCTTAAGTTAATGTATGAGTTATTTTTTCTAAACCAAAATCTCAGTATTCAGGTTAAATGGCCATGTTGGCACTTTGCGATAAATAAGTGGGTTTTGGGTAGGGCTGCCAAAAACCCCGGGGGGCGGATTTCCCCCCGCTTTGGAGGCCCGATTTCCGCCGCCACGGAATCGGGCCCCGGGGGAAACCCCACCCGGCGTGCACGTCAGCCGGATGTGACGTGATGACGCCGGGCACGCTGGGGGCGTGGCCACAGCCATTTGAGGGGAAAACATAGTTTTCCCCTCAAATGGCTGTGGCCCTGCCCCCAGCGTGCCCGGCATCATCACGTCACATCC